GTTTTTAGATCGTAAGTCACGATAAAACTCAAACTGAAAGTAAACAGTTGTTTGTACGACGCAGTTTTTATTTACTCACCATAAACAAGCTGAAACGTTCAGTATGGCATATATGTTATGTTAAAGACGGTCCCATTCATTTGAAAAGCATTTTGAAAGTAGACGATGGAATTATTTCAGGTTTGGGGAACGAGTAAATTATCACAAAGTTCATTTCTTGACGACCTCATAATTTCATCATGTCGATGGTACAAATCGATTTTTACTGTTTACTTTCGCTTCTCATGTTTTGTAAACGGTCTTTTATTTTTAAACCCGAACCAGGCATATGCATTCTGTAATTGCGCAAATCTTCGTTCTTTGGTCAATTGGCTTATGGATAGTTGTATCAATTTCAACTCTTACATTATTTTTTTTTTAAATATATTTGCATTACACATGCAATGGCAGTACCTTTCCACTTACTATTTATGTGTTGTGTCTAAATTAAAGTTGTAACACTTTATAGTGACTGGAAAGGGTAGAAAAATTCATCAGATGAGAAAAGGTTGAAGATACATGGAAACGGCACCAAATCATTAGATATTGCATCTTATAAAAAGAAACTGAGATTTGGATAGTTCCACTTCAAGGTAAAAATGTTTATCTCTTGTGAAATGAAATAAAAAAATATTGTAACACTGCAGTTAATTAATAAAGATACTATTACATGTATTTCTGTATTGGCCTTATTGTTGGTCCTCGGCTTCGCCTCAGACCAATACACCAAGACATGGACCAATAACAAGGACAATACAGAAATACTTACGCAATAATATTATAGAATGACAGTATGGTTCAATAGCGGGAATCAGCCCCTCAACTACTTTTTACATAAATATTAACTTCTGGCTTCAACTCCTTGTTCGTTTTGTCTGGAGATCTTGTTGTAGTTCCAGTTAGGCAAGCATTTTAGAGACGTATCCCGTCCATCCTCTCTTGACTTGTAATTTCTGGTGATAGATTTTGCCGCTTGACGTTGTATCCTTTCAAGCTTGTTTTTTTTTGTTACCGTGTAGGGGTCCCATACTATGGCTCCATATTAAATTGTAAGATCCATTCCTAAAGGTCTAGATCATTGTTCTAATCTGACACAAATTTCAATAACTGGAATGCTACCCAAGTTGAATATATGGTGACCTACTAGAACAGCATTATCACTATTGAAATTGTGTTTAATACCATGATTGTTCAATGTCATTAACTTAAATGGAGACAGACATTTGGCCTGAAAGGTGGTGTGGGAGTGCAAAATCAAAAACTAACTGACTATGATATATGGTTAAAGAATGAATATCAATTACATGGGTCAACATGGTCAAGGGCAGAGTTGTTATGAAATAACAATATGGCAGAGAAGTGGTTTCAAGTTTCATATAAAGCGACCTGACTGACATGAAATAAAAAATCAAAGGAGTATCCCTATTTGTCTAATCTTCAAGGTGAAATAAAACTAGTAAAACAATATTATACTATTGTCTAAATCTACAGAAATATAATTTGCTTCAAGTAACAGAAATAATTAGGTCACTAGTAACTTATTTAATGAGTATGTGGGGTATAAGAGCTTGATAACAACAGGCTCTTCATAATCATTTGGTTTGAAAAGGATGCTAGTAGTCTATATTCTTGATTTAGAAAAATGTAATTGTAAGACAAAAATCACATTACTTAGAATACTTTAGATCATTCAGGTAGTCTTTATTTATATGTACAAAAGAACAGCCAGTAGTCATTGGATATTGTAGATCATTCAAATAGTCTTGACCTATTTATTAGTACAAAAGAACAGCCAGTAGTCATTGGATATTGTAGATCATTCTGGTAGTCTTGACCTATTTATTTATAGAAAAAAACAGCCAGTAGTCATTGGATACTGTAGATCATTCAGGTAGTCTTGACCTATACATTTGTACTAAAAAAACAGCCAGCTGTCATCTTCACATAACACACACATATACGAATATCAATTATATGCTTACGAGACATGTTGGAATGTTAAACTAATTACGGTATGTGAAAATCAAGACTTGCATAAAAAATATCACAATATTAGAGACAGTGGCGTCATTTTTCCTCAGAGCTTTCAGCTCTTTGATTTCTACATTGGCTAGAGGTATAGGGGGAGGGTTGAGATCTCAAAAAACATGTTTAACCCCGCCACATTTTTGCGCCTGTCCCAAGTCAGGAGCCTCTGGCCTTTGTTAGTCTTGTATAATTTTTAATTTTAATTTCTTGTGTATAATTTGGAGTTTAGTATGGCGTCCATTATCACTGAACTAGTATACATATTTGTTTAGGGGCCAGCTGAAGGACGCCTCCGGGTGCGGGAGTTTCTCGCTGCATTGAAGACCCATTGGTGGCCTTCGGCTGTTGTCTGCTCTATGGTCGGGTTGTCGTCTCTTTGACACATTCCCCATTTCCATTCTCAATTTTATTAGGTAATCCATTCCTGCGGTAGAAAGTCCTTAGAATTTCAAACAATTTAAAGTTTTGTAAATAGTTAATTTATATTTATGACGATATAAATGATAATTCATGTCAACACAGAAGTTCTGATTACTGGGCTGGTCATACCCTCGGGGAGGTAACCTCCACCAACAGTGGCATCGACCCAGGGGTTGTAAATAAACTCATCATAGATACCAGGATTCGAATTTGATACGCCAGACGCGCGTTTCGTTTACAAAACTCATCAATGAAGCTCGAATAAAAAAAGTCGAAAAGACCAACTGAAGAACGAAGTTGAAGTACATTGAGAACCCAAAAATTACGAAAGGTTTTGCCAAATACAGCTACCGTTTATCTGTACAGGTTATTTTACGTAACGGGTGATGTTATTTGTCATATAGATATTGTACATACCTTTATACCGGTAAGACCTCTACACAAAATGTGTTTCCATTGGACAACCGGGTTCTAATAATTGTAAATAGTTATCAAAGGTACCAGGATTATAATTTAATACGCCAGACGCGCGTTTCGTCTATATAAGACTCATAAGTGACGCTCAGATCAAACAAGTACAAAGTTGAAGAGCATTGAGGACCCAAAATTCCAAAAAGTTGTGCCAAATACGGCTAAGGTAATCTATTCCTGGGATAAGAAAATCCTTAGTTTTTCGAAAAATTCAAAGTTTTGTAACAGGAAATTTATAAAAATGACCATATAATTGATATTCGTGTAAACACCGATTTGCTGAATACTGGGCTGGTGATACTCTCGGGGACGAAACAAATTAAGAGAAAGATGACGCATCAATGTGAAATTGACTACCGGGCTTGTGATACTCCAGGGAATAGGTGGATTAACATCAAAATATGAAGAAAAACACAATTGGACAAACCAGAGATAACAAAAGTTGATGAAATATCGTCGGATAACAGGGCTTGCTACTTCTCAATGAAAATGTTAAATTACTTAAAAATCACAAAAAAAATAAATTGTACATTGTACCTTCAATAATCTAGAAAAGTCATTCAAATTTTCATTTTAAATTTCAAGTCCGACTTTCTTTCTTTGACTTTGTTTGATTGTCAAACTTTTACTTGTTTATACAATATTTAGTTTACAAAAACCCATTTTTCAAAAAAATTAAATTCAATGCACATCTTACTTTTACGCACAACTGTACAAAAGAGTTTTAATGAAAGCTATGTGTTAACAATTCTGACTGCTTGCCACAAGATAACATTAAATGACGCTTTTTTGTAGTCTTCAAATTAAGAAATAATTATTTTGTGTAATGCTCTATATAGAAATAAGATGTGGTATGAGTGCCAATGAGACAACTCTCCACCCAAGTCACAATGTGTAAAAAGTAACCATTATAGGTCAAAGTACGGCCTTCAACACGGTGCATTGGCTCACACCGAACAGCAAGCTATAAAGGGCCCAAAATGACTAGTGTTAATCAATTCAAACAGGAAAACCAACGGTCTAATCTATATAAAATACGAGAAATGAGAAACACTCAAGAACCACATCAATCTCAAGGCTGGTCACATATTAGAATCCTTGATCCTTGCCTCTTGGTGTCACGTTTTTCAGAATAAAATGAGGAATTTAACAGAAGACCTTCCATTTCTCGATAATGTCAACTATGGTTTAATTTGGTATGACGATTTTCAAGAAGATGATGAAAATGTGAATTGCCTACATCTGGCAGATGGACTTATGGATGTATAGACTGACAACAAATTCAAAATGATGACTAGTACAAGGCATCTGGCCCAATAAGAATAATTGTATTGCAATTTTCCAACTAACAACCTTAACTTTAACAAAGGATAACATATTTCACCAATTAAAAAGTCTGTAGAAATGAATTCAAACTGCAATTTTATTTTAGCAAATTGGTGTTGTGAATGGACAAAACCTTTTGATTATACACAGTAATTGAAATCATCACAAACTGTTTAACTTAGTGGTGTTTGTATAATATCATTTTTTCCATCTCTACATTTAAACAGATTCTTGCAGTACTATCCTCCAAGAATTGTGTAGTATTAAACATATGTTTGAGCAACCGATGAGTCTTTTGTAGAAGAAATGTGCATCTACACAATTTTATTTCTGGTATCTATGATGAGTTTATGTAATACTTTTTCAGGATTTTTTTTAATTCATATATCTTACTCGTTTCTAGTAATCGATGCATCATGATCATATACTGAGGATTCATTATTATTTGTGGGATAGTTATTTTTGTGGATTTCATGGGAATAAGTGAAACATGAAGTTAAATGTCCGACATAATACAATTTTCCTTAGGTTGGTATGGAGAATTGTGAAAACCATGATTAATGTATCCATGAAAATACAATTTTTCCTGAAAATTGGTATGAAATGAAAATATATGACTTCACACTCAATCAAGTTTTGACTAAAATCACCCAGGTTGACTGCTTGATATGTACATCAGACATGGTGCTTTAAAAAAATAAATAAGACAATAGCTATTTGTTAATAAATTGTTTATTTTATGTAATAAATGATAGATTTTAACATGATGAAGCACCAATAAATAAAAAGAGCATAATAATGACACCCTGTAACATAGGAGTAAAATGAGATTCACTAGATGTAAAACACATCCTTATCTTTTGCCTAACTATGCAGAGTTCTCAAAACGTGGTGGTCCGAAGGTTTTGACACCAAATTTTGCAAGAACCAACAAAATTTTGGTTTTTTGCAATAGAAATAATAGTGAAGACCAGCAATTTTTTTTCATGGACAACCAGGAAAAAGAGATTTTGAGAACTCTGCAATGTTAATTGGATTCTATGAAACATTATCAAAATATTTCTAGTGAATGTAATGATGAAAAACAGCTATATGACATATACATGTACTTCTAGTAGTTCATTTCAAGGTTTTCTCCAATACATCTTCTCAATTCCTTCAAATGCTTTTGTTCTTAGTATAGTTTTAAAAGATTGGTATATCTTATCACCAAAACAATAAATGAACCAGTAGAGCTGCATATTTCATTAATAGCTCCTAGCAATCAAAAGGAAACATTTTAGATATTTTATCTATCAGTGTATCATTTAAGGATTCTAATTGGTCAAGGTCATTCAATGTTCAACACAATAGCTATCCATTGGAAAATGGAGAAAGCATACTAGATTTGTGCAATATGTTAAAGGTTTCTTAATACATAGAAGTCAAATAATATGACAGTGTAGAAAAAGGAGTTAAACACAATCATATGAACAATACCTTTAAAAACATATGAATTCATGCACAGAATATGACTTTTGCTCATTTCTGAAAACTACATGGTGACATGTAATTATTTACATCCTTGTCCATTGGTATATGATAGAAAGTTGTCTCATTAGGAGTCATACCACATCTTTGTTCACTTGCTACATTTTAACTGTAGGTGTACAATTGATTGATTAATTGGGGTTTAACATCACTTTCAGCAGGATTGAGCTATTTCATGGCGGAGGAAGCCGGAGTGCCAAAAGAGTGCCCAGACCTTCGATAGGAAAATTGACAATCCTAGTCAATTAAGACTGGAGTTGAATGCACCTGCCATGTGCCTTTTCCAACTCACAACCTCAGTGTTGACAGCCTAGTGTTACAGTAATTCGACAACTTAGATCACTAAGCCACGGAGGCCCTTACATGTAAAAAAAAAGTATCTGAGTATTCAAAGCTGCTGAACTGTCAAGTGTTTCTTTAACTTAAACAAGGAAACATACAACAATTAACAACAAAACATTTTTTTTAAAAACAAAGTGTGCGTTTTTAACACCCTGTTTGCTCTATAAATGATTATTATTTACAAAATGACAAAATTATTTACATTCATATATCATCTAAATGTAATATCTTTATGCACCAATATGTTCAAAATAAATGCAGCTTTTACAACTATTTTCTTCAAAAAAAGCTATATGATTCAATTTATAAAAAAGAATCATATTTTTCTCTTAGATCACAGAGAAAAGACTTTCCCCTACTTTTAGAAATTCTGTAATAATAATCTCCAAGGTCTGATAATTGAATTGCTTGTTTAGTTTGTAATGTGAAGAATGTTATCTTTACAAATGAATAAATTTGAGTAGCTTGTGTAATATTTAATTTTTTTGACAACAAAAATATAGCCTGGCTATTTGATTAATGGCAAAATAAATCAGCAATATGTATGAGTGACCACTACATATTATATCAATATATAAACCACTATCCATAATTATGTGTAACAGTAACACACTACACATACAGTGCAGTAATTTATGTATAGTGAATATTACATGTACCACATATAACAGCACTTTTCTATGTTTGGGACTTTTCATGTTTGGCAAAGTCATTCTCTCTGAGTATTAAAACACATCACAATATCACAAAATATAACAAGTGTTTTCTATTCACTGAATAGTCACTTTTGAGATATGTGCCATGGTGTCTGCTATTATTCCCCTTGACTTTTGATGACAAGAATAGAGGTCATTGTGAACTGTCCAATCTTTAGGATCACCGTAGGAGGAGTGTGGTGTGTGGTATTGTACCCATGGAGATGTTTTTACAACGGGAACAGGTATGCCGCCTCCAACTAATGGCTGCTTCTCACAGGACCTACAGAAAAAAGTTATACAACAATGTAAGCAGAATCTTTATATGAAGCAAAAGAAACTAAATGTACATATCACTACTCATAGCCTGGGTGAACCTCTCTCTTCATACCAATTACTAATCCTATTGGACATGTCTGGTAAAATACACGAGTGTATGAATATTCACAACAATAACTTATCTTTTTTCTGATAATGTATAATCTTTAATAAGTTAAATGAAATAAGGCCTGTCAATAAAATTATTTTCTATTTTTGGTTGCGATCATTGACATCGAAATTACTTCACATGCCGTTGGTTAAGATGTCTGACTGAGCAATATTTTTATGTGGAAGCTTTTTCAGTCATCTGCCTGTCTTAGTGATGTTTGATTACATTTTAAGTTCGTCTCACCAGATGACAAAAAAAATGTGATAACAAAAATACCAAACTCTAAGACAATTCAAAAACGGAGAACTACACAAAACCAAAATCTCTACTACATCAACTGTTCTAGGGAGTTTTGTGATGCCAGTTTTTACAAGTCTAAGCAGAAAGTTTTGTGATGCCAATTTTTACAAGTGTAAGTAGGAAGTTTTGATGCCAATTTTTTATTATTTTGTGTTTGTGAGTTATTTTTCATTCATCATTTAATAACTTCTGTTGTTACATTTGCAATCATTTCATTTAATAATATTTCAAAGTACTTTTTGTTTCATTTCAATCTTGTAATTGTCTGTGTTATCTATTGTAGTTTACATAGATATTTGTCCATTTAGAAATTTTTGGTATGACAAAGGATAGAAATCCATATTACAATATATTTCACATTCAACAAAAATATCAGAAACTTAATTTGTTAATATATAATATTTTCTTTACAATCATACTACTTAGAAATCTTACCTATTAGGTGGTGACCTGTCCATTAAATGTATGGGTGTGTGTATCACTGATGCTGGGGTAGCCCCTGTTACAGGACTACTGGTAGACAACATTCCTCCATCAGGTTTACCATGGTTCTGCTTGGGACTACAGCTATGATCTGACCGAGGTGTAGAATTAGGACTGGAATTTTTCAGACAAGGATTCCATGAAGAGCCCGGACTACTTATCACATTCCCACGTCCAGAGTTATTGTAACTGTTTGATAAGTGTCCATTCACATGATCAGAATTTCTAGAGTTTTGAATCGATCTCGGACTAGTATTATTTTTTATCACTGAATTATGTTGTAAAGGAATAGTCAGACCTTGACCATTTTGTCCAAGGTCATTTGTAGAGCAAATAACTTTTGTCTCTTTTGAAGTCAAACTTTGTCCGTGAATAATTTCAGGTTTGATCAACGACGATGAGGAGTACCCTGTCCCATGACTGACCATTGAGTCAACACCATTCACGTAACCAGCACTACCGTACATTGATGACGACCTTAAGTCAACCGGTTCTAAACTTCCATTCAGCCGAGGCTGAAGTCGGTCACTACCGTATTCATATGCATATTTTCTAAAATCGTTGTCAAGTCTTGATAAATCCTCACCGTAATGTACCTTTTTGGCAAGTTCAAGTCCATAACTGTCACACCCAAACCCATACCCATATTTTCCAGCAGGTGTCATTATATCAGGATATCCATTTCCATGGTAACCTAACGTATGTTGATACTGTCTCCGATGCGAGTCCAGATAATAACCATTAGCATAACTATGCTTCTCAGCTTCAGTGAAACCATAAGTATCCGCGGATGGATAAACTGTCCCGGGAAAACCAGTATACCCATGTGGACGGTAAACTTCAGGTTCTATCCCAAAATTATTGGGCGGATATGGATACAGAATTTCCGGTTTAAAGTCACTACCTTCAAAGTTCCCGTATTGTGGATAGTTACCACTGAAACCATTGATTCCATTGATAATATCTCTACATCCAGTTTTTCTTTTTCTCCCTGGTGACTGTAAATATTCTCTACCCCCCTGATTCTTCTGTTTCTTTTGCTTTCCATTTTTCATTTTTGACATCATTTCATCATTAGGAAAGTCAAAACCTGAACAAATATCTAAATCTAATAATGGATAGGGCAATTTGAATTCATTTCCTCTCTTGTGGAACAAATCCTGACCTTCATCATCACTGAAAAACACAAAAATCCTTACAAATCTAAATGATAAAAAAAACAAAAATCCTTATATCAAAATATCAGTGAAGATATAAAACCAAAAAGTAAATTGATTGATTGGTGTTTAACGCCACTTTCAACATTATTGTGTTATTTCGTGGTGGTCAGTTTTCATTGGTGGAGGAAGACAGAGTGCCGGTAGTAAAACTGACAATTCTAGTCAATTAAGATTGGGTTCAAGCGCACCTATCACTTGCGGGATTCGAACTCATAACCTCAGTGTTGACAGGCTATTGATACAGTAGTTGGACCACTCTACCACTACTTAGACCACTGGGCTACCGAGTCCCCCCAAAAATTAGAAGGACATAGTCTATATTATAGTAAATAATTACATCAATCTGTAGTCTTCTCTTTCGTCACCTCATTATTGAACAAATCTCAGATAAACAAACTTATCCAAGTTTTTGACAATAGTAAAAGACATTTTAAATTTGTAGAGCAAAAAGACAAGTTAAAAACACCGTACCCTCCACAACTTCATTGTGTAGGCTAAAATTTAGATTTCAAGAACATAAAAATATTAGACGTTAAATTCAAATGATTTTGAGTGGTGAATAGTTTTATATATAAATCGAAGTTTTATAAACCAATAAAACGTACAATTAGTGGACAAACCACCAATTACCAGGACTTTAATTTCAATCAATTTCAACGTAGCGTACATACACAACTCAGTTGTTTATGATGGCATATGTAACTTACTGGTTTTCACAGCTGTTTTTAAACATGTAATTTAAAGAACGGATTCCATTTTTGTGTAAAATCATTTTGTGTTTCATACATAATTTAGAACTTATAATTGATGTTGATATACTCACGTGAGTTGTCTGTGTGTACAGATAACAAAATCTGGTTTACTGTTTTTATAGATAACTTTACAACTAGACTGTAACCATATCCAGCGGAACTCTTTAGTTAACCATCGATAGGCTATCAGTCCAGAACTTCCTGTCTTTATTACTGAAATAACCAGTGTTGATAATTATTATTTTACATACTGTATGTATACATACTGTGGATTTAAAATTGAGAATGGAAATGGGGAATGTGTCAAAGAGACAACAACCCGACCAAGGAGAAGAAAACAGCCCAAGGCCACCAACGGGTCTTCAACACATCGAGAAAATCCCGCACCCGGAGATTGTTTATTTCATGGTTTCTGATTTTTGTGGATTATGAAAAATTTGTGAATTTTTTTTTATATTTTACTTCATGGTTTTGACTGTTTATAGGGAATTTGCATTTTGTGGAATATTAATTCAAATTTGTGGTTCACATATGCCCCAAAAATCTACGAAAAAATTAGAGCAAAATAAATAATAATGAATCGGCAATAATCAACACTGAACTATAATAAACTCTAAAGTGACAGGTTTTATTTAATTAAGACTGGGCAAAACCTTCAGTAAATTGAAAATGATGCAGCAATTAAAGCTTATCAATGCTTGTTTGCAAATTGCTCTGAATTCTTTTTTTTTCTATCCTATCTCACCTTATATTTTTATCGAAAACTGTAAAACTGTGATTTTTTTTCATTCTGTTGGCAGAGAAAAAAATTAAGACCCTTTCGAAACTACAGACTTTAGAACGCAAAAAAGATGCAATTTGTTTGTTTAAACTCAATCACATTTTAACATTAGGAAAGAAATAAGTAATTTTAATTTTATTGTGTTTATGTCAATGTTCATTTATGAATGAAAAAAAATGGTATTATGACATTTATGTACATACTTATTCTTCGGGTCATAAGAATAAAGCAGGGCTTGCTACATGTGCACAGAGAAGATTATAAAATAAAATCAATTTGATCAAACACTAACTTTTAATATTTTAATGAAGCAATATGACAGTGCACAAACCTTGAGGAATATTGACTCTTGAAATACAATGTTTGTTTTACTGATAAAATTTAAAGTTTTTCTGTATCTTTCCTTATTTACATTCTCTCTGTCTTTCCTAACTTACATTCTCTCTCTCTTTCCTAACTTACATTTTCTCTCTCTTTCCTAACTTACATTCTCTCTCTCTTTCCTAACTTACATTTTCTCTCTGTCTTTCCTAACTTACATTCTCTCTATCTTTCCTAACTTACATTCTCTCTCTCTTTCCTAGCTTACATTTTCTCTCTCTTTCCTAACTTACATTTTCTCTCTCTTTCCTAACTTACATTTTCTCTCTCTTTCCTAACTTACATTCTCTCTCTCTTTCCTAACTTACATTCTCTCTCTCTTTCCTAACTTACATTTTCTCTCTCTTTCCTAACTTACATTCTCTCTCTCTTTCCTAACTTACATTTTCTCTCTGTCTTTCCTAACTTACATTCTCTCTCTCTTTCCTAACTTACATTCTCTCTCTCTTTCCTAACTTACATTTTCTCTCTGTCTTTCCTAACTTACATTCTCTCTATCTTTCCTAACTTACATTCTCTCTCTCTTTCCTAACTTACATTCTCTCTCTCTTTCCTAACTTACATTTTCTCTCTCTTTCCTAACTTACATTTTCTCTCTCTTTCCTAACTTACATTCTTGATGAGCAGCTGAGAAATAGTTGAGATCATCAGGGTGTACCAGGTCATAGCCAGACTTTGTAGCTAACTCTCGGTCAGAAAATCCAAACATCATTTTACCCCTGAAATAAAATAATATCACAAAATATAGCTGAAATCCCTAGTAAACTCTGTCAAAAAAATCCAAACATCATCTTACCTCTGAATGCCACTGGACGTTAAGCAACCAACAATCAATCTTACCTCTGAAGTAAAATATTAGATCAATAGTGAAGAAAAGTTTGCATATGAACCTCATAATAATAATAAAGTAATTTGCAGTGTAATTCTAATATGGAAATGTAAGCACATAAATATTTACAGAATTTGGTTCAATCTTTAATGTAATGCCGTTCAAACATGTTTTTTTTTTGGGGGGGACCTATCTCAGGAAAAGGTCTCAGTAAACCAATCCCCTTGAAAATATTAAAAACGCTTAAAACTATGCTGTCTTTTTTTTTATTATTCTGTTATTTATTACTTGTGATATTCATTGATCTGGACGTGCTATCTTGTTGATTTGTTCCTTCAAGGTCTTATATATTTATGACAAATATTTTACCCTGAGCGATAGCGAGGGGTAAAATATCGGCATAAAGGGACAACCCGTGGTAAAATCACGATATATTCAAGCCCCATGAATTATTTCAATTCTAATAGGACAAATACGGCAATTGTTTTGGATCGAAGCGCTCTAGATGAAGGCACTATTAAATTGACGTAAAAGACCGGAGCAAACTGAATAAATGACATGCTTAAACTATTTACAATAACATATTTAGATAGGTTTGGATGAATCTAAATGATAATTGTACTTATATGTCTTATATGTATAAAAAAAATGGCTTATATAACACATTTTAGCATCGTTTGTTTACGTTTCCTTGTTGTGATGATTTTCGATTTCACAAGCGTGTATTTTCCCATAAAATGCTTATATTCTTACGTCATTGTTCTATGACGTCGGGTAGCTCATTGATAAAAAAGCATATGACGCAGGAGTACGATTGGAACAGCCCAAACAATATATTCATATTTTACCACGGGTGTGTACTCAAAGCGTTTGAAGAACGTCATGTTAGAATTTGATGTATTTATGTTAGTGAAACCTTACATTATTTAAAATTATACATTCCATAATTTCTTGGAATACAATGATGATGTAATGTCTCATGATTATATCAAATATATCTGAGCACTGATAAAAAACATTAAATAATAATGAAAATCTTATATATCTAACATCAAAGAAATACCTGAGCAAGATCATGTATAGATACTTTATTTTACCCAAAAATTAGAAAAAAAGAAATCGGAAAAGTTTGCCAGAGATTTTAACAAGATATAATTCAAACAAAAATCAAAAGCCATCAATAGAAATTTAGAATTTATAAAATCCCAATAAATAAAAGAATTGTAAATCAATATGATGCTGAGGTCTCCAATCTGAATTCTAAATTGTAAAAATGTGAATTAAATTACATGTGATTTCATTTAATCTGCATATTTTGTTAATATCTGGTGATTTGATCAATGCAAGGTTGTTGATGTAAAGCATGATAAATGGCTCCACTGGGGACAAGACAAACTTATCCATTCAGATCCGGATGTCATTCAAATAATTGTGGCATAAAATTTACTGCATGTTAAAACAAAATCTACATTTTCTGTGTGAGGTATTAATATGTTGCAGTGGGAAAAAATGACTTTTTAAAATTTATCTATATATTTATCTTTAATGTCATACATCCTAAAATTCTCATTTTACTGAAGAAATAACAATTTAAAGCATGGTGTATTTGGATCAAAATAATATATTAGTGGAAGTCAATGTTACACAACTGGTCATAATTTTTGGAAAAAATAAAAATAAGAAGATGTGATATGATTACCAATGAGACAACTATCAACCGAAGTTCAAATGAAGTGTACAGGAGACAAAATTCTTGCAATACACTACAAAATATCAATGGAACCGTGTAGGTATTGGTGCTCTCTATGGGAATATGATAGAGGGTCTATAGGATGAACTGAATAGCTCTCATCTTAAAGTAAACCCAAGCCAACGTTCTGACTTAGGATGACATTCTTTGATAGTCATTAATAACCCCTTTATAACAGAAAATTCTAATTTGGGAGTAAACATTGTATAGTCTCCCCTTTATTACAGAATACGGAATAGATTTTACAGAATCAGATTTATCATTAAAAATAGTCATTGAATTATTCAATTTGATAAATTTGTATGCAGGCAATAATTGGTTGTCTTTTGTTAAATCTCAATGTTTTGGGAATCTGGTGGCAAACCTTTGATTGCCTCAGTTCGGTTAATTCTACATTTGTTTTATACTTGGGTATATATAAAGATTGATATATTGTAAAAAATCCTGTCTATTGGTGAAGATGGTATGTTGACTCTTCTCTTAAATGTCTTTTTGTTAGTTTGCTGTCCTATTTACTACATTCATACCCAACATATCTTATTTGTAACATATAGTTGCTAACACCTACATCATTTGGACTCTTGTAGATAGTTGACTCATTGGTAATCATACCACATCATCTTATTTATATATATGTACATAAATATGGGATGTACCTTTAATGTCTGTTTATGCAAAGTCACTATGAAATTTTATATCTGTTTAACATCATATCATAATATTCATATAAAGACAAGGCATTGATATGGTCATAAATAACATACAAAAATGTCAAGGTCAACAGAAACATGGTGAAGGTCAGTATAACACTTTACTTAGTCATACTATAATACCAAAGTAACAAATCTTATACAGATATATATATACTCTTGCTTTTGATTATTTTTTTTTTATTTCACACTAACCCTAACCTTAAAAGATTGACCTTTTAAGGGAACAAATTGGAAAAGAAATTATCAAAACTGGCAGGTTTTTTACCATATGACCCATCTCCCCCCCCCCCCCAAAAAAAAAAAAAACAAACATAAAACAAAAAAACAAACATTATTTATAGTTGTGTGATTGGTTTTTTTTTTATGTTATTGATATTTTACTTTAAAAAAACAAAGAAGTTTTTGGGCTTAATTTATTTTTACAAAACATAAGTTTAAGAAGATAAGACTATTCAGTTTATCTGAGATATTAATACAATTTTAATCTAAGATAAAATTCATAATAATATCATTTTCTATATCAGAGAATAGAGATAAGGAAATAAATTCCAACTCAAGACAGAAACTCAATAACACAGATTCACCAAATAAAACAATGTGGAGGTCATCATACAATTAAAAACAATTAAAAAGCCCCACATACTGTCAAAATGTCAAATTCCAGAACCTCGGGCAAGGTAAAAATGAATTAAACAATAATCATATATAAAAATAATACCAAAAATTACCAAAAGGAAGTCTTTATATTTCAAGGAACCTTACTTTATAATATTTTTAAACCCTTATACATTAATTTGTATTGCCATTCTGTATCATATATGTTCTCTCAATAGTATGACCAATGCATTGAATGGCATACACACCATCAAACAATCAAGAAGTCTAATGTTGGTGGTTGACATGGTCTGATGTCCAGTATTATTGGTCATTCCTGTTTTACTTTGTTTGTATCATTTTAGATATGTTTTCAAACAAGATAGAAGTGACACACATTTTCATGTAAGTATTCACTCAAACTTGTTTTTAGTTCTATCAAAATTCCACCCACTACTTGTTTAATGCTATGTCATAGTGTGTTATTTTATATCTGAGAACTTCAGATGTATGAGGTCAGAAATGAATGGATAGAGACTAAAGGATGAGGTATGATAGCCCATAAATCTTTTTAATTTGTCAGTTGTAACCTACATATTGAAATTGTATACTTGTCATGACAACAAGGATGTAAGTTCTAGGGTTAATTAGAAAGGACAGGTTATGATCTATTTCATTCGGTAGTGTAATATCAGCCATGGGAAAAAGTTATAAGGAAATTTTTATGAATGACCAGTTTGTGGAAAATGTACTTTAGTCATTGTTACTCATCAATTTTGTTTATCATTTATTTACTACTTTATCAATTTATTTATAGTTTTGAGGTTGTGAATGCTGCTACATTTAACTCTATTATATCAGTGTATTAAAAGTATTATATATTTCAAATCCAAAAGTTTCCATTCTTCTAGCAATTAAACAGTTAACATTTTTCAGCCTTATACAGTTTATATTGATATTTTACCAATACAATGAAATGTACCCTTCAAACATCATTTTAAAAAACTTTTCGCCAAACATTTTTTAGGTGTCTGTTTTCATATCTCAAAGAATAAAACTAAATAAAAAGAGACTGAGGACAGCATTATTGAGCATTATTGAAACCAATATCAAGACAAATATATTCCAATGCTTGTTTCCCCAATGACCTTTGATTTAAAATTAATGACCTTGACATGAAAAAGCGCCAAGATAGTATGACACTAGACAACTTTTCTTTCTAAATACTCATTTTCTTATCAAATAAATAATTAATATGTGATATAACTTAAATCTGATATTCAAACTACATTACGTAAGCATCAACATGAAAAACAGCGATACAAATTCTGTAAGCGCCAAGTATTTTTGATTAAGACAAATCTACTGCCATATTACAGGTCACAAATTAATTACATCTACATTTAAGTCAGAGAAAACCTTACAACTGTCCATCTGTAATGTTATATTCTAATGAAAAATGATCTACATATTTTTCTGACAATGAAGTGACATGTATTACCATAAGCTTACAAAACATGGCTAGTTTATCAAGGATAAAAATATCATTTAAATATTAAATTTCACTGTCAATTTGTACACAATTCACAAAATATTGTCAAATAAGACATAAATTTATATCCCGGATTCTTATTCAGGTCTTGACATGGAGTTTTATCTGAAATCTGATCTTACCGTATCCAATTCAAAACGGTAGATATTGTTACGAGTTCCAGGTACATATCAAGAAAACATCTTCATTAAAAACACAAAACAAACTTAGAAAGTGGGCTGGGAAGGGTAAACTCTTTAATAAACAGGACAAGATTGTCATAAGTTACAACAGGGACCTTCTCTCAGGTTGTAGCGTGACCGTGGACAATTTGAAATACTAATGATTAAGTTTATACTTATGAGGGTTACGCTGTGAGAATGTTAGTAACTCACCAGTCTAAGATTTATGATGTCAGGAGATCACATTTACTGTACTTATGTAATCCCAGTACATTCGCATCAAACAAATTTGACACGTGTGGGTTTCTGTCTGACAACTGTACTACTGATCAAATTAGTATTTAATTTATCAGATTGTTTATCAGATTCAAAATCAATTTCAATTTCAGAAACTGTGAATTTTTAATTTATTTGAACTAGTATTCCGAGAACAAAATTATCAAAGTTTTCCCATAATAAAATGTCTGTCCAATATATATAAGTTGGGCTCATGTGATAAAAATGTGTATTGCTATGCTGATAAGGACTAAGAGTATTTCATTAAATTTCCAGAAAAAAAAAACCTCAATACATGTACTTTTATTCTACAGAAATCCTAGAACCTTGATACTAATTTTTTTCTCACTAATAATTGTTAACTTGTGATAATTTTTCTAAAATAAATGGCAAGAAGTAATAATGGGTAAATCCACCATTTTTTCCCTGTTTTTAACCACAAAAATTACAGCTTAAAGACAAACTAATTATCTGCATAATCTAGTATATGATGTATCAGGTTTAACAATTGTACATCAATGTGACAAATGATTTGCCAAAAATATACTGGGAAAAATTAATCTGCTTGTTATTATCTCCCCTGATACTGGTACACATGTCTTTAAATTTATATGCCTACAAATAATTTATTGTGATGCAACTTACATCTAAAAAAAGGAATTGTTAGTTTTAATTCATATTTATCCTATACTGTACCATTTGAATTAGTAACTGCAATTATTTATAATTGAACGGGATAGAATTTTTACATACAATAATGATAATTTGTTAGTTTTGTCCCACGTAGAAAAAAAAGATGGAAAAAACTGACATAAAAAAATGTAATCCTTGATTTATGACATGCTATATAACACGTTATACCTATAAATTTGATGCTTAGATAACCCCATCTGTTTCTAGATTACCAAACAACTTCTACTTTCACAGATAAGTTACTAAACCACTTTGACTTTCACATATTATCAGATCATATTTTCAAATCAGATACATGTATGTAGCAAAATAGCTCTAATATGTTCTAAACACCTGCAGCGTATAAATGTATATATCACAAAATACCTCCAATCTGTTAATTCTACTTTCATGATATCTCCAATATGTTTAAAAAAACATATTTGAATGATTTTTAATAAAATTTGATACTGAAAGGTGACCTGTAAATTTTTCAAGTGAATAATTATGAAATATTTGACTAAATCTAATCCATGTTAATTTTATTATTTTTGAGTGTGATAGTGTTGGTGATCTGTTACATGAACTTATATCTGGGAGTTAAATATTAGATATTAATAAAATTATATCTCCGTACCATTCAGAACAATACGTTGGCATGACAGGGTACTCCGTATCAAATAGTCATATTGAAAAAACAGGGTTGAATGTACTTGTCAAGAACTGTAAAAACAGATAGGAGGACAATAGAAAAATTATCATCAAATAGTCATAAAAAAAGAGGTTTATTGTACTTAAAAAAAAAATAAGTGTCGACCTAAGAAAAAACTAACAGTGACAAAGAAAATCTTACCGATTATCCATTGACATTGGAGAGAAGTCCATTTTATGTTTAGATTTAAATGTTAATTCTCTGGACGGCAAGTCTAGCAGTGAGAGTGGCCCAAAAGGACAACATGTGGCAAACAGTCCCATCTGTGGCTCATCTGTCGATCGTGGAGCAATATTATTATGCAACAATCGGATCCAACCATTTATTTCTAAGGTCTGCAAAATAGTAAAAAAAAAGTCCTGTAAAATTTCTTGTTAAAAATCATTGTTCCACAGGAAACTGTGATTCAAATTCAGTGGTTGTTTTTGGTTGCTACCATCTTCATTTTTTGTTTAGTTTTTGCGTGTAAATCACGTTTTCTCATTTGAATTGTTTACATTTTGTCATGTCAGGTCCCCTTACATGACCTATAGTTTCTTACATCCACTTCATTTGGTCTCTGGTGGGTAGTTTTATCATTGTCAATCATACCACATCTTCTTATTTTAATCTATGCAATAAATAACACTTACAGTTTAGTCAGTTATTACACTAACATTCATAGAAGCTCATTTAAAAGTTTCTAAGTATGCATAATCCATACAAGACATAGCCAGAAATTAGTAGTACTTTTGCTAATTAATATTCATAATATGTAAATGAGAATTGTACCACGTGATAATAGTTTGAACTGGACTGGCTTGATATCATTAAAATCTTTAAAACACGGATATTATAAGTTGCCCGTCACAGAGTCCTTGTTTATAATCACTCTGATATTTCCGTAAAGTTGTCAGGCGGTCAAAATCAAATTAATGAACGCGAATTTAGTGAATTTTTCATGTTTTCGTGAGTTTATTCTTCTTGAAATAGGGGCATTTTAACTTTACGTGGGAACCTAGAGTTCAATGACTACACATACAAGGTTTGGACTTGCTTATTCTTTGGACATTCAAGTTTCAAGTTTCATCCCTGCAACCTGTTTTTGTAATGACCTTGTTAGCCAATTTTCAAAACGAAGTTTTCAAATTTGGCGTTTCAGCCATTTTAGCCTGTATTTTATACTGCAATGTTAAAAGCCTCTCGCTTCGATTTTTAAAATAGCTCAGGAACCTTGATTTTTGCAACGACAGTAATTATGTTTCGTTTAAATGGTGTATATTGTTGTGTATATTTATTTTCTGTCCCCGCAACCTGTCTATCACTTAAATTAAAGTTAAAACAGACATTTTTTTTCAAAATTCCCTATCATTTCAATATAATTTCTGTGACCCGTATCCGATTTCTTTAGTATAATATTCAAATAAGCAAAGTGGCGTTGATTTCTGGATATGAAAAGTTTACGATGAATGAAAATAAAGAGTTGTGACATGAGCGCATGATAAACCCACCACTTTTTCAATGATTAAAGTTCCATAACTCATGTCAACTCAGAATTTTATAAAAAAACTAAAGTGAGATTATTTCAATAGATATAAACCAGTCACCAAAGTTTCATGAAAACTGCTCAAAGCATTATTGAGCTATTGTCAGAAAACTAGAAAATTCCTTCCTTTTTTATAAATAAAATCCCATAACTCAGAAACATAAAATTGAAAATTTATAAAAGTCGAAAAGGATCTGACGTCAATAGATATAAACAATTCACCAGAGTATCATGACAGTATACAATAATACTTCCTGTAAAGGGGTATATAAAAATAAATTAAAGAACAATCATAATGTTTACTCCAATATAGAAGAAAGGAAATCCCTACCTACATGTAAATGTTTATAAACAACTGCATCTTTCACTGTAAAAATGGTATGGAAAAACATAGTGTATAACAATGACCCTCCTCTAATATAACCCAGGTAAATTGATGTAAACTGTATAGTCACTGACCTTGGTCAGAGGAATCAATGCACTAAGATGCTATGACTTAAAACTTTTGTTGACAAATCTGAATAGGATGGAATTATAGAGGTTTCTACTTACAATAAATCCTGATGTATTGTCTAACAAACATCTAAATCTCACTGTGAAAGATCTATGTAGGTAGTGGTAGTTTTCTGTAAAATAAATCAAGAAAATATCAAGTTAGATTTATTCTCTTTGTAATAAAATAGTTCTTTTTTTTTTTTCATTAAATCATAATCTTTTTGTCAAAAATCTGTGGCAGAAATTAATCTTAAAAGACCAATAACAAAAAATCGTTAAAATTTTTACTGCTGAGAAATTGGTTAAGAATTTATTTCCCTAACAACCAATCCAAAAATAAAATGTAAAAAGTTAGGTCCAGATTGACTCCAGATGTGCAAGGCTATTACTACTGAAACCAGGAACCAGAACTCCATGGAATTCCATGCAAAAGTCAAAGATCATATTTTCTGATTCTGATGTAGGTTAAACATACCTGGCATCATTATTTCATGTAAGGTCATAGATGATTTTTCCTGAGGAAGTGTAGAATTCCAAGTCAGTTGCTTTTTAAATTCTTCTCTGTCTTCTGAGTGAATCAACTCCATCACACTCTGGTGTATAATGTCTGACTATAAATAAAACAAGGGGTAGGTTAATGCTTAAACTATAGAATCACATTTGAGTGGATCAACTCTATAACACATTAATGTATAATGTAGAATTACAGACAAGAAATCTGTGGGTTTATGATTGAAATAAATAGAAAAACCATTCTACAAATATCTTTTGTACAATAATGTACAATATCATTCAATATACATACTGTGGATTTATAATTATTCGTTGGATACCAATTTTCGTGGGTTTCGTGGTTACAGGTGAACCACAAATTCAAATGTTCAGTTCAAAAATTAATTTTCTTTATAAGGTTTGTATGCAGTGATTGGAAAAACCACAAAATCAAATAGCAACAAATATGCAAGTTTTCCTGAATCCATGAAAATTGATATCCACAAAAATAAAAATCTACAGTACTTTAAGAAAAAATTCATAAAATTGAGGTCAATTATAAAAATTATTTTTTTCATTTTGGTAACACTTTCAATTTTGATTATTTCATTTGAAATAAGAACCTGTATTTTTCTAACATTTCATATATAAGATGTCAGTACAATTATATAACATCAACTGATCATTTCCAGAAAATGTCGGGGAGAATTTTGTAATCTGTTACAGAAGTGAAAGATTGCTTTACGATTGGAATAAATAACTGTTTACCAACTGATTTTGAAGTCTCATTTAATTCCCATAATTCGATCAGTGATAAAATTCTTCTTTAATTTAAGTATCAATGTTATGTTTAAGTTCATCAAGTAATGATCAGGCTGTTCTCTTCAAAGGCTATCAATGTCACATAATTTTGGACTCTTGATTAAAAAATCCTGAATCCGACCCGTTCCATCTTTCTCCATATAGATTGATGGCGTAATTGTATCTTTAAGATTTAATCACATTGTAGGTCGGAATTATGCCATCTTGAAGTTTAAAGGGTCAATCAATCAGGGAATCATAAAATACAGCAAAACTACCTCCAAAAAATAGGAGATTGCACTTGGGGGAGATAATTAATGTCAGTCTTTCCCAGAAGCTTAACAGTAATCCTAGCTTAGTCCTTCTAATACCGCTAATTAATTGCCATGCTTAACTTAAAATCAATAACGAACTTTCAGTTTCCTTAAACGATTTTACTATTTTTATGAGTCAAGAACAAAGAGGAAAGATCGGTAAGATGCAAGTTCTTCCTCAGTCAATTAGATATAAATAGCTTCAAAACAACAGTAATTATTGCATTAAAGTATATTAAGTTTGCCAATTAAGTTGGAATTGACTTTAAGATGTACGGCATCTCAATCAAGTTATTCACTAGGCGGAAGCACAGCGACTTGTATTCTCTCCGTTACTTGCGACCAGGGTACCATTAACAATTTTACGCTCAGAGATCACAGTGAGAATGGGATTTAACCTTCAGATGCTTTACACGTCTGTAAAAAACAAATCAACTTTATGGTCATGAGTTTTATTGCATCATAGTAATTTACCATCAGAATGGAATGGGGAAAGCTAAATTAAACACCATACTTTCTCAATTTTCTGACTCGTAAGAATGGACATTAGACTAAATATGATTTCTTTATGTTCAAGAAATATCTATTTTCATCTGAATGATGTACAGTTATATGTATACATTTATTATTTGTAATCATATAATATGGCAGACATCTCCTTATTTATATCCAAATATAGCTAGTTAGAAATTCAAAATTTTACAATAATTCCTCTCACTGAAAGAAAGCTAGAGACTGTTGGTTATTTAGGAGGGTACAACATATTCATGAAATTTTCACCTGTAGACCTAGTTTGGTGGTCAAGGTACTTAAACAGCCTCATCATCTGATAATTTCCAACACATGACATAAAGGTACATGGGTATCCATTTAGGAGGCCTTACCTGATGAAAGCCCAGATATGGTTCCTCTGTTCCAGAATAGACTCTTACCTGATGAAAGCCCAGATATTGTTCCACTGTTCTGGTATGTAGACTTACCTGATGAAAGCCCAGATATTGTTCCACTGTTCTGGCATAGACCCTTACCTGATGAAAGCCCAGATATTGTTCCACTGTTCTGGTATAGACCCTTACCTGATGAAAGCCCAGATATTGTTCCACTGTTCTGGCATAGACCCTTACCTGATGAAAGCCCAGATATTGTTCCACTGTTCTGGTATAGACCCTTACCTGATGAAAGCCCAGATATTGTTCCACTGTTCTGGTATAGACCCTTACCTGATGAAAGCCCAGATATTGTTCCACTGTTCTGGCATAGACCCTTACCTGATGAAAGCCCAGATATTGTTCCACTGTTCTGGTATAGACCCTTACCTGATGAAAACCCAGATATTGTTCCACTGTTCTGGCAGCAAAGAACACTTCACCATCACAGGTCACAACAAACAGGAAACCATACAAAGCCTACAAAACATATTATAGAGGCTGGAGACCTTATATCTGATGTTTTATCTCTTTCTTTAGTCTAAAAACTAAACAAAGCCTGTTAAATATCATTACACTAGAACCTTAGAAATCAATTAAAACTTATGTGCGCGTGTGTTTGTCTAGTTTGAACAATATCTGTTGAAAAACCAATCATTCATTGGTTAATTTGGCTGTATAAAAAGTAGTCTCCTAAAGATGAAAATACATGTACCAATACTGAATAATGACACTCATGTGATATTGTATTAATTCAATATCAACTAAATTATTTCTACTGTAATACAATTCATTTTTAGTGGGTTACAAGCTTGTATGAGGGAAAAGTTGACTCCACTGCTATACCAACTTTAAGTTTTACATCCCTATAACTTAAATAAACTGATATCATTTCATTACAATATACACTAATAACATTTAAAACAAACTGTCTACAGCTAGAATAGGATCCCAGTTCAGTACTAATCAATGAAGTCCCTTAATAAATCTACCATCTTTTAAATGACACATTGTAACGAGATGAAAATTATGTATAGGTGCTTAAATTTGTGTATATTCAAAGGGTATTCATGACACTTTCAACTTCTGTTAAATTCTATGTGATTCTGAAATGTATAGCAGTCTTCGCACTCAACCACAGGCCCACCAGCCCAGGCTTGTAAAAATGCTGTCAACCTGTAAAATTCATCTTTACAGGCCAATAGAATCTAACAAAAATTTTTGTAAAATTCAGCTTCGGGCCTGTAGATTCAAAAGTTTATCGTGAAGACTGGTATAGAGTGGAAGATTGTCTGAGTAAAGGGTCCAAATTTCATTTTCCATTTAACCAGGATATTATAAAATGACCATACTGTAAAAATTTAAATGGCCAGGTCAACACCAACTGATTCAGGGAAAAGTTTCCTTCATAATAATAAAAATAGTTGTTGATTAGTGCTTGAACTCATATGTTTCTGCAATACATTCTATCTTTTTTTTTAAACCACCCTTACAGCAAAAATAAGTCAACGTTAAAGTTTCCACTACTGAAATAATTCAAATAAAGGTTTTGTTAGTAAAACTTACTTGTAAAATACTTTCTCCTTCTGAGAAGCCATTATGAGGAAAGAAATGAGATCGACTAATGATATGGTGATGTGATTCTAAGTTGTATCTGTCTGGTAAAACAGCTGTAATATAAAATAACATGATAAACTCTGTTGTGTCTGATGGGTAAAACAGCTGTAATATAAAGAATAAAACAACATGACAAACTTTGTTGTGTCTGATGGGTAAAACAGCTGTAATATAAAGAATAAAACAACATGACAAACTTTGTTGTGTCTGATGAGTAAAATAGATATAATAAAAAGATTAAAACAACATGATAAACTTTGTTGTGTTTGATGAGTAAAATAGATATAATAAAAAGATTAAAACAACATGACAAACATTATACCTGCAGTCACTGTAACACCACATTTTGCATTGGAGAGCATATTTCTGATTCTGGTTTATTATTGTTCTGAATATGAATGAAATATTTCCCACTGGACATAAAGCAAACAACAATCAATTGTTATCATTTCTAATAGCTATAAATAAAATCCTTTTTTAATTTTAAGATTTGTATACAAAATTAAACATAATGGATTAATGGATTAGTGGACTAGTGGTTTAGCACAAAGGTTGACAGCACATGGTAGCATCAAACAATTTGTTCATATGTATTAGGCTTTCCTGGTGAATATCTTAGTTCCAAGTGGTCAAGTTGAAATCATCCCTTCGTAAATTTTACGGACGCCATCACGAGTTGGTTGACCGTTATGGAATATCCTTTTCACAGATGATACCAGACATGTTCTTAATGTCGTAACTACAATCCCCTCCCTTTTTCCCGAATGCGACCTACTGAATTAGACTTATCACCAGGTTTGTACTAACATGAGCAACACGACGGGTGCCACATGTGGAGCAGGATTTGCTTACCCTTCAGGAGCACCTGAGATCACCCCCAGTTTTTGGTGGGTTTTGTGTTGCTCAGTCTTTAGTTTTCTATGTTGTGTTTTGTGTACTATTGTTTGTCCGTTGGTCTTTTTCTTTTTTAGCCATGGCATTGTCAATTTATATTCGACTTATGAGTTTGATTGTCCCTCTGGTATCTTTTGCCTCTCTTTTAGAAAACAATATATATTAGTCATGATGAATAATGGGAATAAATGGGATACAGAAAAATCGTAAAGCCCAAACTAGATAGAAAGAAAGAATATAGATAGACTAAAATTGACTGGAGAATACATTTATATCAAAATACTACATATGCAAGCAATGTATATCGAGACGTAAATCTGAAACATTTAAAAGTCGATTTTGACTTCAAAGTAAATCATAAAACATCTGCATGAGATAATAATGTTTAATGATGATATGACCTTGTACGATCTGGTATGCACAATCTTCTGAAGAAAAAAAAATATGGGCGGGACTTTAATATCAGTAATCGAAGAGGTCAGACAGGGTTGACAATTAACTCTCTTTTTCTGCTTGATTTATCGTAAAAAATGTGAATATTTGTTGACAGTTTAAAAAAGATAAAGATAGCAAATTAGTACGCTAAATGATTCACAGAAGATTTGACCATACAAAGTGTTATATCCTATATAATTGATGTAGGATTAACTCAGACTTGTGAAATGTTAATGTATAATTAGGCATAATGGTTTCTTAAAAAATTCAAGGCAATTGATGTTTTCACTGCAATTAAAATTGAAGCATAAAAAAAAAAAAAAAAAAAAACTCTTTAATTTTTGACTTTGTGTGGGTAATATTCAGGGACAAATATTACTTGTTCAGGATAAAAAGTTGATCGAAATACCCTGCTTTTAACCAGTCTGATCTGCTTGCTACCTCAAAAAGTGACAATCTGTAAGAGGAGTAAGAAGATAAGTTCTGGACACATTGTTCAGTCTGTGAGTAAATCATACAGTTTTGTTTTTCTTCTAAGAATCTGTTTTAGTGGAAAAGCAGCAGATATAAATTTTTAAAGACTTAGGTTTGACCATGCCAAGTAATTTACCTTTGAAAAAGGACTCATTCTTCAATTAAGTGGAGAATAGTATTTAGACAATATGTTTATTTAAATAGTATTCTAAAAAAATGGAAATGTACAAATTGCCATCAAAGGCATTGATTGACCTTTTATAAAGTAAAGTCCTTTTCTCCCAAAAGGCATTGCCTTAAGGAGAATTTCTTACTTTTTTGTACAATTTAAAAAAAAAAAAAAAAAAAAAAAAAGATAAAAAGTACATTTTTCAAATCATCAGAATTTTAACCAAATATTCTCCAAAGTCTCCATAATAACAACATAATTCATTATACAAAAATTCTTTCCCTTCAATCATTGGTTGTTCAAACTTTCGTAATCTATACCTTATACACCTTCAACCTACTGAGATCTACATTATGATCAGTTTTTTTTTCCATTTTCATGTTTATCAAATTCATTTTTAGCATAGTCCATAAGTTGTCAGATTAATCGACAACTATTATCAATATCATATTCTATCAATATTTCACAAATTGTAGCTTAAATTTATGACTTTTTCACTACTAAAGAGATCATCTAATTTTTTTGATAGCACACCATGAGAAATATAATTTTGATTTATTTTGACGTACTTTTCATTATGTGTCATTACAAAATGGAGAAAAGATGAAAAGGCAAATATTACATTACTACAATAATTGAAATCAACGTCTATTTAATTGTCTATCACAAAGGAACTCAAAGCTCTTCCTTTCACTGACATAGAGGCTTCAGAAGGGGGGATGTCCCAGCTTATTTAAAAGAATGGTGTCTTAAATAATCTGAATCTGACTTTTACATTATTTAAGAAACATTTCAGTATGACGACTATGTCATATTTGTCTAATAGCTTTTCAAAACAAAACAGAAGTAAAAGATAGGTGTTGAGAAACAAGATGAAAATAAATGTTTCTAATTTAATTATTGTACCCTTAAGAAAATGTATTCAGTCATTAAAGAACTTGAAACTGTTGCGTTTTAAAACTTTAACATTTAATACAAAAACTGAGAAAATTTTCTCTGATACTATAGCAAAGGTGGGTTCAAAAGAAATTTCTATATTATTCTAAGCCCTGATTTTTTTTAATGTCATATATACCAGGTACATTTGTTTATGTATATATACTCTGCAATATTTGAATAATTATGCTGTTCTTGTAGAGAAAAAGACATTGATTCAACTTTATTTCTCCTGTACTGAACCTCTTTGAACAGACAAACTATTGCATTGAAGCAACTGCATGCTCAGATCTACATATGGAAATTTAGTCAATATACAAATTTCCCTTAACTAAACTTCCTTAGCTTTGTACCCCAGAATTAAGACATATTGAGTCAATCTATAAATGTACCCTGTACTGAACCCCTCTGTATATATGAACAGTGTTGTATAATTGGCATTAAGACATTGTCTAAGAAAGTATGGATGTCAACCACTTTAAAAATTGCCATGAAATTTTACCCCATGATTGATTTGTTTTGAAAGGTAATTAAAACTATAAATCAAAACTAAATTTCCGCTCCATTTATGTATGACAGTGGAATTATCATCCGGTAGTTGCAATGATGGTTGACAATGGCCCAACATTACAAGTAAAACATGTTTAAATTAGTGCTTCAAAGTAAAGGATGCTTCATACCTTATAATTAGACAGAAGACCTTTTAGTTTATACAACCTGGAGTATAGATGCTAGGAACGAAAATATTAAATATTATCACTGTTCATCAAGGACATATATACAACAGCAGTTCAAGATGTGTATAGAACAACTATCATAGGCTGGCCTGTATAAATAAAAGAAGTGTGAAATGACTCAATGGTACAGCAATCCAACAACAAAAATACACCAAAAATAAATACCAAGAGGTCACCATACAATACCGCAGAACGAGTTGTGATATCGAAGTATATTTCAGGGTTATATTGAGATACTGAGACTAATTTCAAATTTATTTTTAGACCAAGGGTGATACTGTGAAAAATTCTTTTGCTGAAGGTCATATGGTTTATTTCAGTGAAATATGCTGGTTTACTGGTTAAATGACATTTACAGTAGACTGCTTTATAGCTCCTCTGTTTTCAGGGACATTTTTGTTAACAAAGTAATCTTTCTGTTGATACAGCTCTCAGGCACTCTGATGCTGTCCTTGTGACGTTTTATCCCTAAAAGTGCACCAAATCAAGCAAATAAGGTGCGTTTGACTTCAGACTAAGATATGAATTAGCATTAAAAGTACAAGTATGTTGATATTTAATTACATTATATTCTGTCACTTCAAAGCTGATTTTAATTCCTTGTAATTTGTAAATTACAAGCCAATATATTCTGCTCAGCCATCCATCTGACTTGAGATGAGAGCTAACTTATGTAAAAGTCTGATTTTATCTTCTAATTGTCATAGAATTTTGATTGATGATATTAAACTAAATAGAAGACCTATGATTGAGAAAAACAAATACAAATCACATTGATCAAATTGCCCATGTATGGTACTGTAGCGACATGTTCTCCTAGCATAATTAAGACATATACATGGGCTACCAAAGGCAACACTAATATGGTTTTTATTGACACAGTAATTAACGATCTTTGTTGTGGACATGCTTGACCGGTCGCCCATGAAAATAGCTACCGTATGCTACTTGAGAGTTGTGTAAATACCATACAAGCAATTTTATATAACCAATATTTGTCATAAATGTTTTCCATTGTAAATAAATTTCCCGGTAGAAATGTTGACTTATGAAATAATTAAACACATCAAAGGATTAAACTTTACTGTTGCAGCTTAATCAGATTAACAAATTATACATCATGTTGTGATTAACATATTATACATCATGTTTAATTTTAATAAACAATTTGTATACAAATATATTTTCTTTTAAATTACAAATTAGTTTTATTGGAAAGCTTTGACCATAGATAGATTATGCTATTAATTTTTTGTGTTTCTGTAGAGGTTGCAATTCTGTAAATATAGACAATGCAATTTCCCATCGGAACTCCTTTTACAGCCTAAACTGTACCACTTTTACTAGGAAGTTTCGTAAAATATTATATCCTAGAATGAAAAGCTCATAGGCACTACTATTTTTTTTA